GTAGAGGTAGTAGTAGTAGTAGTAGTAGTAGTAGTAGTAGTAGTAGTAGTAGTAGTAGTAGTAGTAGTAGTAGTAGTAGTAGTAGTAGTAGTAGTAGTAGTAGGAGGAGGAGGAGGAGGAGGAGGAGGAGGAAGAGGAGGAAGAGGAGGAGGATGAAGAGGAGGAGGAGGGGGGAGAAGGAGGAGGAGGATGAGGAGTTGTAAAAGATTGCACGTGGAAGATAGACTGATTTATATATTGATATATGTGTGTGTGTATGTGTGTGTGTATGTATATGTGTGTGTATGTGTGTGTGTGTGTCTCTCTGTATGTGTGCGTGTGTGTATGTGTGTGTATGTGTGTGTGTGTGTGTGTATGTGTGTGTGCGTGTGTGTGTGTGTGTGTGTGTGTGTTTGAAACATCAAATCAATGTGACCGTGTCTAGGCAATAATGATTCATCTCATCTAATCAAATCTCATTTTGTCTCATCCCATTTTATCTCATCTCATTTGGTCTCATCTTATCTCATATTGTGTCATCTCATCTTGTGTCATCTCATTTTGTGTCATCTTATCTTACCTCATCTCACCTCATCTCTTCTTATCTCATCCTACCTCCTTTCATCTCATTTAATTTCATCTCACTTCATCTCACCTTATCTTATCTCACTCTTCAGGCCAACCTGATCAAGCAAGAGGCTCGACTCAACGCCGCCAACGCTGATTTGGCTACTGCACAGGGCCAGCTAGACGAAAAACAGCGGGAGCTGGACGAAGTACAAGCGCTCTTCGACGCTGCTATGGCAGAGAAACAGGTGTGGGAGCGTTGTGGTGGACAGCTGTTGTGTTTGTCGATCTGCTTAAGATTGAACCTTGAATATAGACGTTGTCCGTCCATAGCTCTTCAACAATGGAAGCCACTACTATCTATCGGTTGTGCTCTCTACCTAGTTTGTAGCTGTTTGTCTGCTCTCTGATTTCATCTTGCCATCTTCTTTCTGGTCTTCCTTTCGATCGCTTTCATGTTCTTGTGTTTCAGTGTGTGCATCGTTTGACCAATCTATTATCTTTCATTCTATCGATGTGACCAGCCTATTTCCTGTTTTGCAGAGGCATAAATTTGGCGATAATCTGCCACTTCTTTTTTTTCCTTTTATATTTTTGTGTATTTTCTTTCCTATCAAACGTCTATCGTCTTTATCTCCTCTCCTTTTTGTGTTTGTTTTTCTCTTGTAACACCCCTAATCTTCGGCTCTTGTACAACCTACTTATGTTGCAAGTTTCTTTAAATTCTAATAATAACTAAAACTAGCAACAGAATCTTGGTTCATGAATTATAATTTCTTTTCGTACTAAGATTTATCGGCATATCAAATAGTTATAAGTTGTAAAGATAGGTAGCGATATACTGGTTCAAGATACGGAAAGATTTAAGTAAGTGGCCTTCTCACCTCCTCTTCCGTCCTCAGGCGTTGATGGACGACGCCGAGGCGTGTAGGCGCAAGATGAACAACGCAGAGGCGCTGATCAACGGCCTGTCAGGCGAGAAGATCCGTTGGACAGAGGCCAGCAAAACCTTTGAGGCACAGATCCAGAGGCTGGTGGGAGACGTGCTGCTAGCCACGGGCTTCCTTTCCTACTCCGGACCGTTCAATCAGGAGTTCAGGAACCTGCTGCTTAGAAACTGGAAGAAAGAGATGGTGCAAGCTAAGATTCCTTTCAGTGATGTGAGTATGAATGCGATAAAATGAGCATATTTTGTCCCCCCCCCCCTCATATCCTGCCCATTCCTATCAACTGGAGCATTTATATTTAATATTTAGTGTTTCAAATTCTAAAATGAAATATAAATGAAAACCAAGTAGAGAAAGGCTTTGTGGCAAAAAATAAGGCCAAGTGCTTATTCACAGTGATGTACCCCCCCCCCCCCCCCCCCCCCCCCCCCCCCCAAATCCCCAGGTGTCTGGTCTGTTCGCAAGGGACGAGATGGACGAGATCCTCCAAGAGCTGATTGCTGTCATGAAGAAGGACTTCCCCCGCCGACCGCCCACCAACGAGAACCTGTACGACTTCTACCTGTCACGTGTCAGGGAGAACCTCCACGTCGTGCTTTGCTTCTCTCCAGTACGTTATCAGCAGAATGATCATGATAATGATGATGATAATGATATTGATGATGATAAGGATAATTATAATAACAATAATAAGAAGAATAAGAATAATAAGTATAAATAATACTGCTAATAATTCTAATAATAATAATAATAATAACAATAATAGAAATAATAATAACACTAATGATAACGATGACGGTGGTGATGATAATAATAATAATGATAATAATAATGATAATAATAATACTGATAATGATAAACAGAATAATAATAAAAAAATAATTTATAATGATAATGATATTGATGGTGATGGTAATGATGATGATGATGATATTTTTTTGTACATGTTCCTGAAGAAGCCCTTTACAGGGCGTTTGAAACGTTGAACTTATATTGAATTTGAAAAGTCTACTAAGTCTCAAATCCTTTTTTTATTCCCTGCTACCTACAATGATGATGATGATGATGATGATGATGATGATGATGATGATGATGATGATGATGATGATAGTAATCGATTTCAATAATACATCTCATTTCAATTTTAAAAAGACTCAACGTTCTTTACAATAATGCAAGGAACATGAGCACCATACCTCTCCAATAGCGATCTTTATCTTGTTTTTTCCCCTTTTTATCATGTTATCATATTACCCTCTAATAACACCTCTAACCTTTGGCTTTTATGTGATTTATTTGTGTTGCAAGCGCCGTAAAACTCTTACTAAAATTAAGAACCAGAAACAAGGTATTTAACGATCATTTTCTACCTGTCAGGTGGGGGAGAAGTTCAGGAACAGATCCCTCAAGTTCCCTGGCCTCATCTCTGGCTGCACCATGGACTGGTTCCAGCGCTGGCCAAAGGACGCCTTGGTGGCGGTGTCCAACCACTTCCTCTCCTCCTTCGACATCACCTGCACACCCACGGTCAAAGCATCAGTGGTCAACACTATGGGTCTCTTCCAGGTCAGTTTTTGTTGGTTTTTGCTAGGTCCTGTACCTTTTAAACCTCCAAGCAAATGAAAGCAATGCTACAGCTGCATTGACAGCAGAAGCCACTGCAAAACGACAACAACAGTATAAAACAACAATCACAGTAACAACAGGATCAAGGTTGCAACCAAAAGAAACCAACAAACAACCCAGCAGCGACAACAGCAACAACAACAATTACGACTACAACAGCAACAGCAACAACTACAACCACCAACAGAGCAACAAGACAGTAAGAATGTAGAAAAATAAACAAACAAGATACAGAAATAGTTTTTAAAAAATAGCAAAGAAAAGTGTAACAAAAGCTATGTTAACTGATCATGAACCTAGAAAATGTTCTCCTTTCTGTTTCTGTTCAGTTATCAGTGAATTTGAAGTCAACTGTGTATGCCCACAATCCCTCTCCGATTTATGTTTTTCTACTACACAAGTAGATCTTCTGTCTTTTGGCAGAGGAGGAAAAAAAGGGGGGGGGGAGGGGCGGGGGAGGTCATCAAGCTATCAGATTTGCTCGCTTTATGCAATGTGTTCTATTTTTTCCTAGGTAGGACTTTGTATCTAACGAAACAAAAACACATGTTAATCAAAGGGGTTGCTGTGAGGTCATGTGAGCTGTTGACGACAAGTGATATCAGACAGCACTTTTCCCACGATGTCTAGTTTTATCTTATGGTATTATTTTAATCTCATTAGCAAAGGTGAAAAGATCAAACAAGTCCAACAGTTTAAATATCTAGGATATATGATAACATCTGATGCCAAATGTT